GAAAAGAAGTGTTCAAGACAGTTAACAAACTTTTAGTTAGGCCTTAGACCTAAAAAACTGCTGCTATAGCATATTTGTAACTATTTCAAATGAAACCATATCTTAGTATTCAGAGCTAGCATGTAAAGATTTTATTTGTTGAATGAGTAAAATGAATATTTCTGTTATATTTGTAACATGAATTTATTTTTTTTCCAGCAAATTTACTGCATGGTGCACAATAATATTATGTCACTTTTGATGATCTCCATTTTAATTCCACAAATCTTCTCATTATAAATATCAAGTTCATTTCCTACTTAACCATTTGAGTGCTTGTTGTCATAGTGATTGGCCTGTGTCATCAGTGTTTAATCAGGCTAGCCTGAGCAGACAATAAGAATGGCCCTTAGTTGAAACCCTGATCACCCTGAATATTTTAAATGGACTTGTCCATCTTTGAGTATGGCCAAAACCATTCAATTTTTTTAGGGGAAAATTTGAAAATAAGTTATGAGTGAATAGCAAACAGTGCAGACCATGATCAGTCAGCAAAGATCTTGGTCTGCACTGGGCGTATGAATACATTCAGTTGCCAACAGCAGGCATATACATGTATTATCAGTGCTAAAATCCCTATTTTTAATAATAGACAGTTCCAAATTCAAAGCGGGACAAATCCATTACACAAATTCAGGAAAATAAGGGTTCATACATCTAACCTTTAATATCCCTAAAAGCAATGAGAGCAAAAATGACTAATTTGTATCAGTTTTATAGAATTGGTCAAGTTTGCTATAATTCTTATAGTGGAACTTAAGGCTTTTCTATTATATATTATGATTTAACTAATATATGACAAAAATATCAAAACTTAAAACTTACAGTATCAATTACTGATAAAATTTCGGAAAGAAACAAAGGTTAGGAAAGAAATGAACTTGTAATTTTTTTTATCATTTTAGAGACATTTTAGGGAATCTCAAATTATCATTTTTGAATAAAAGTGGATTTTTTTCAAGTTTTAAATGGAGACCATCAATATAAAAGTTTACAATAGACACGTCATTTGTGACTTGGAATTTATTAGAAATAAATGTTTAAATATGTGCTCCTTTGTTTTTGTTATGTTTGTTTGCTACTTTTCATAGCAGAAGTCTCAAAATGAAAGTAACCGCATCTGGTTGGCAATACCAAAGAAGCAATATGACCTCCAGAAAAAGCGATCTGACAACCAGAAAAAAGCAATATGACAGCCAGAAAAAGCAATATGACATCCAATAAAATCAATATGATCTCCAGAAAAAGCAAAATGACCTTCAGAAAAAAGCAATATGACCTCCAGAAAAGGCAATATGACCTCTATAAAAAGCAATATGGCATCCAAAAATATCAATATGACGTCCAAAAAAGCAAAATGACATATTGTTAGTACATGTATAAAGTTTGTTTTGTTTGGGCTCAGACCAAATAGGCCATAAGGTGACTTCTAAACTCTTCATTGATGGATAAAAACATTGTGACCTTATATACAGTGTACATGCCAGCTTGATTGCACTTTGAAAGTCTTTAGACTCTGAAACATGCTTGGAATGAGGCTCATTTCAGGCTCCCAAACAAAGCTTTACTACTAACAGACATCATAAAATACCTCTCAACAGTTCATTGTTATATACAGAAGTTTCAAAGGGGCAAAATACATATTCATAAAAACAAAGACGTCTGGCAGGACTGCAGTATTTTAAATGAATTGTAACACATTTACTAAGTTAAATCGGCAGACTATTTATCAATCAAGTAAATTGACTGTTTATAAAAAATAGTTTCAAACACTAAATTGGTTAGTCAATAGTGTTTATTAGTACGCATTTACCAAATTAAAACAGTTTAATGGCTGTGTTGCACTTGACCCGTTGAATTTGAACATGCTTATTAATAGACACTTACCTATAGTTAATGTCACAATATAATATCGTGAATAAATCATGGGCATTGAATAAATAAACACAAAAATGTTTCCTTCAAATTCTTTATGATATTTTTTAATCAATCTTTACTAAAAACATTCTTAAACAATATTTAAAAGTACAACAAAAATGTTAAAAAAATAAATTAATATATATATATGTATATACATGTATCACAATATATAATTTGTAAAAACAAAAACAAAAAAAAACATGAATATGAACAAACTTCCTAGATAAAAAAAAATATATCAAAAAATTGAAATGAAAAATTTGAAGACAAGAAATCTTTCAAGTTGAACAACTATACTAGTGGAGGAAGACCACTAGTGACCCTCATCATGTATAAGGCACCTGGATAGAACCGCTGACCTGTATCTTAAACATTGTGGTTAATTACATGTACATGGACCCATGTATAAAGGTATATTAAAGTACATGTATATTGAAGTATAGAAGTAAAAGCCACTTCTTTGTGTATTTCAATATGTTTGAAACTGCCTAAGTTAATTTAATTAACACACTAAATATAGCTACCAATTCAAACTAAAAATTAGTGAGCCTGTTTATAAAGATCTATAATCATCTATATTTAATGAAAAAAATGATTTAAAACACATTTTTTATAGGTACAAATAACAGATTTTATATGGAATTGACTATCGACAGTCAGAGATATTAATATATACATAGTTGCTTGGGATTCTTTATATTCCCATCTTAATAAACCAAAAGGTCAGGCTGATTCCGCAATTAATATGCCGACAAACATTTAATATAAAGTTATGAATTGTATTTAGATACATGTACTACAAAATATGTAAAGGGAAGTTACTCTTTCTAAATTTAAATTTTCAACAAAAAAATGAGACTTATATACAATCATGTATAACTACAAAATATGTAAAGAGAAGTTACTCTTCCTAAATTTAAATTTTCAAAAGAAATGAGAATTGTATACATGTATATCTGTATAAAGCATTTTCAAACTCTTTTTTAATAAAAGAGCATAAATAAGAACGTTAATTTATGAATAAATTAAAAAAGAACTTGTTTAAAGTACATACAGTCAGAGGGAATATTTTTTCAATCTGTTAAAAGAACTTGTTTAAAGTACATACGGTCAGGCAGATATTTTTTCAAATCTATTTATCACATGAACAAAATTTTGAACTATTGCAAATGAAGTACAGTAATGTAACTGTCTATCTCTAAGCATTCATCCACTATAAACACGTATAATTTCTATAATGTCTTTCCGGCAGATTGGACAACCATCACGTCTGTTGATCAGCATGGCGGCACACATGTAGCACGTGACCATGTGGTGACACGGTCTCATCACACAGTCTCGAGCTTTATCCATACATATTGCACAATCTAAATCATTGTCCGACGTTGACACTGTAATGATAGATATAACAGAAAGATATAGACACTGCAAATGAAAACTTGAGCCATTTTCCTGTACAGTGTAAAACCAAATAGACTTGTAACACATACAATGTACATGACTATATTGTATAACTTTAATCATGTTTTGCTTAAATTAGTAAATTTAATGCTGAAAACTATATTCATGTTTTAAAACTTCAAAATTAGATAATTACATAAAACAAGCAATTATCATAGTATTGCAAGCAATCCATAAGTCCCCTACCGGTAAGAGCCCAAGCAACATTCTGAAGGGCCATTGGCCATTCACTTATGTTCCTATTTTAAGTAAATTTGTTGAAAAACTTCTTTAAAAGTGATCACAGGAAACAGTTTTTATGTACAGACAGACGGACTGAAGGACACTCTAAAGTTATTTTTAAACATCCCTGTTATCAAAATATAACATTTTTAAAATCCTATCATGATTGAAGAAGTTGGAGTAAAAATTACCAATTTCTCAAAAAAAAGTCTAAGTTCAAAAGGGGCATAATTCTGGAAATAGCCTTGCTAGAGTATTGAACACTCACAAATGTTGAGTGACAATAACAAAACATTTATATGAAGTTTGAAGTAGATACATTCAGAAAAAGAAGTTATTAAAAAAAACAATGTTTTTTTCATGAAAAATTTTAAGTTCAAGGGAGGTAATTCTGATAAATTTTGTGCTAGAGTTGTAAAACCTTGTCACATATGATGTGGTTGATGACAAGCAACTTATATTTAAAGTTTGAAGAAAATACCTTAAGAAATAAAGAACTTATAGTGAAAAAACTTAAAAACTAGAATCAGAAATCTTGAAATTCAGTCTATTTGTTGCCATAGCAACCAGAATTTTCAACATAGGAAGATAAAAAAGGATGTGCATAATTTCCATACTGCCATCTACCCATATGTCAAGTTTCATAAACATATTTTCAGTACTTTTGTGTTATGACTGGATCCAGGTTATGTGTAAAATTTGCCATATTTTCAGTCTATTTGTTGCCATAGCAACCAGAATTTTCAACATAGGAAGAAAAGAAAAAGACGTGCATAATCTCCATACTGCCATCTATCCATATATCAAGTTTCATAAAAATATTTTCAGTACTTTTTGCGTTATCGCGGGATCCAGGTTATGTGTAAAATTTGCCATATTTTCAGCCTATTTGTTGCCATAGCAACCAGAATTTTCAACATAGGAAGAAAAGAAAAAGACGTGCATAATCTCCATACTGCCATCTATCCATATATCAAGTTTCATTAAAATATTTTCAGTACTTTTTGCGTTATCGCGGGATCCAGTTTTGTGGACGGACGGACTGACGGACGGACAGACGGACGGAGGGTAAACCTAAAGTCCCCTCCGGTAAACCGGTAGGGGACTAATAAGAGCGACAAGAATGACTGAGTGGTTGACATGTAAGACTTGTTATGTAAGGATTGCTATCCGCTTGGGTTCAAACCCTGACATGGGCAAGCTGGGATCACTAGTGGCATGGGTTCAAACCCTGCCAGGGGCAAGCTATTGTTTCCTTTAGCAAGACGCTTTAAACTCTGGTTGGTTCCAGGAATGAATTTAAGAGTGTGTCTACAGGCTTATAGCTTCCGATCTACACAATCAAATTAAAGTAAATTCAGTAAAAACTAATACCATAAATAGAAAAACAAAACACAGAGGTATTATTCAGAAGTTTTTAAGAAATATAATCATAACATCTTAACAAAAAAAAACAAGCAAAAACACAACATTTTCAAATTAAACATATTTAGACATTTAATCAATATTATATAAATTAAACTGTATAAGAGATAAACATTAAATCACAAACAAAATTTTTTCACTGATTTGTTATAAATACCTCTATTATCTTGTACACCATGACCGGTTCCACCTTCTACACTTATCTGTCTCAAATTTGGTATTCCATGAACAAAAGTGGTACCCATTCCAGAACTAACTTTCATTTCTTCTTGCCTTGCTGAAACCATAAATATCACAAACTGTCAGAAAACCAATCATCTATGATGACTAATGAAATTCAATGCAAAATCTGTAATATTTAATCTTCACTTTGATCTTCAATTAGGTATGACATGGGTCTTTTGATACTCCAAATTGAATCCTAAATACAAATTGTGTGAAGAATTCTGTTTATAAGATTGATTTTTATGGTCATGACACATATTTTGTAACAGAACAAATTCACAAATTGACACATCTAATTACTTTTACAATGGCTACCAGCACCGACTGAAACACAGTATGTGTTATCTTATCGTTAACAGTTAAAGCTGGTAAGTTTGAAAAATATTAACAAATAATAACAACATCTTTATTACTACATGTATGTTTTAAAATAGTGTATTATTACATTCATAGCACCACAGCATGATATCATTCAAAGCATGTGACTCATTTTTAGTCATTTATAAATATTTATTTATAAATCGGACAGAATGACAATCACATAGTCACAAAGAAAATGTAAGATTACATTATCCGTTACTGTTGTTAGCACTAGAAAATCTAGTCTCATATGTAACAAAAACATACAAATTTTTCCAATTGCCATTATGGCTGGCATTTTATATAATTTACAAATTGACTTTATTTCCATTTGCCATCATGGTTAATATCTTATATCAATAACAAAATGACTTTATTTACAATTGCCATTGTGTCAAGTATTTTACATCAATTACAAATTGGCGTAACAAGAATGTTTTAATACCTTTCTTCCTATCGTCTCTTTGATCTTCTGTTAGTATAAGAGGTTCTGATCCAGAGCGAAAAAACAACGTTTTCCCCATCTTCTCTAACAAGCTCCTCACTACAATATAAAACATTCTCACTATAATATAAAACATTTCATCTAGAATATAAAATAAACAGTTTTAATGAGTTTTAGGGTATATACATGTATATATAGAAACAGGACTATAACAATTTGAATGGTCAGCCAGCATAGCTCAATCAGTTAGAGTGCCAGACTTGTAATCTCCACATTGTGGGTTAGATTCCTGGGCCGGCCAACTTAAATTACTAATATCAGTCTTTTGGATGAGACTTTAAATCGAGGTCCTGTGTATGAGTGCTTTAACACTTGGCAAGCTAAAGAACTAGGAAAAGCTTCTGGAATTGGGGCATCTGCCTGTATCTGTATCTTGCAATACCCTTTGAAATCTAAAATGACTAATACTCTTCTGGAGGACTCACCCATATGGGCAACCCGTGGCTAAAATAAATAAAATCATGCACACTCACAAATTGAATGCTAGCAGTAATAATGACTTGTCGATGTACAGTGTACAGCTAGGTTTGACTGCATTTATACTGGAAGACTCATCAGGCTACATGATTTATGGATATTAAAATCCAAAGTCTCACATAAACATTGCTTAATTCTTGTTAAATTCTTGATAGTTAGTTTGACTGAAATCCCTTGAGAAATGTAGCAGGCATTGCACAGGAAAGTAAATGTTTGCCCCCCCCCCCCCCCCCCCCCACAAAGCCAAAATATTTCAAGAAAGTCAAACTTGTGAAAAAAATGTACTTTTTTGTTGATTATAAAAGGTAAAGGTATTGTTTATTTTACTGTCACCCCTGCTAAAAGGGCCAGCCATTTCTGACTTATGAGACACATTTTGCTTGCATACCATGTACCTCCCAACTCCCACCATTATGCCAGGTGCCAGGCAGATAGAAATCGGTAACCATTCATTTTAACTACCTTGTTGCTCACGAAGCAGCCATTTCAGAACAAGTCTAATGAGAAACATTCATCCTCCAATTAACGCTCCCTGTGGAGCTTGAACCTTTTACCTCCCCATCTGATTATATTTTATCTTGTTTCTACCTACATGCAATTGAAAAATTAAATCTGGAGGGATGCTGCTTTAAAAATATCATATGCAGTTGAAATATTAAATATGGAGGCATGCGACATTAATATACCTTTCTCAATCACCTGTCCTGAAGTGTAGTTGTTCGGTGTAATCTCTACTTCCGGTATGTAAAAGACTGGATAAAGGAACCGGAGACCTAAAGTCCGCTAAAATATAACAAGATCAAGAAATCAAAAAAAATATTGGGTTGTTTTGCTTGAACAAGATAAAAATACATCAACAAAATAAATCTCTTCAAAAACTAGATTATTGTATTAATGAAACAAATTCTTGTGATTAATGTAAATCAATCACATATTTGTTAAGTAAAGTCAACAATTTTAGAAAATGATCGCTTTAAAGTATTACAGGATCTACATTTTCTACATAAGCTATACTTACCTGTAATAAAAATAACCATATCATATAATATCTCAGCATAATGTATTGTAAATTGTAGGTTATATAACACTTTGCCAGGACACCTAAACACTTAACGTAAAATAATTCTGCAATGAAACAGTAACTAATCCAAATGCCATTTACATTTATTACCCCTCACTCTTTTTTTGTAATGTTAATTTCCCATAGGCCAATGGGAGTTATATTTACTATTGATTCAAGAGTATCATGTGACTGAAACATAGGTAACAGTATGAAAATTAATCTTTATATTGAAACAGTGTCCCAATTCAGTACTTCTTAGGGGGTAATAAAATAAATAAAACACAGGTTTGTGAGTAACAACAAAAATGTCATCCCTCGTAAAAATACTGTTATCCTTGGGTAACGCTCTGGGTAACAGTATTTTCATCAGGATGATATTTTTTCTGTTACACACAAACCTATGTGTTATTTATGTAATGTATTTACTTTGATATATTTATATAAGTAGCTGATATTTAATATCAGCTACATATATAAATATATCAAAGTATATGAGCCGCGACACGACAAAACCAACATAATGGGTTTGCGACCAGCATGGATCCAGACCAGCCTGCGCATCCGCGCAGTCTGATCAGGATCCATGCTGTTCGCTATCAGTTTCTTTACTTGTTATAGGGTCTGTAAGCGAACAGTATGGATCCTGATCAGACTGCGCGGATGCGCAGGCTGGTCTGGATCCATGCTGGTCGCAAACCCATTATGTTGGTTTTGTCATGACACGGCTCATATCATAAACAAGGTCATACCTCTTTGTTTACTGTTCTCTCAACAATTTCTGTGACATTTAACCTCAGTGTATTTGTAGCAATTATTGTTCCTGGTTTGCAAAGATGTGACACTCCTGAAAAATACCAAAAAAATAACACTTGTTAACAGAAATCGATCAACATTGGCCCCATTAATACACATGCAACTGTCTTGCACACATCTCTACAACTTATTTAGGTTATTGAACTGGTTATATAAGTTAAACTAAGCTTACTCAATATATTGAATACAACTAATTACTTACTTTAAACTGAAGAGAAAATCCACTACATAATAAAATCATTGTATTAATTATTACACTTTTATAAAAAATATCATTCAATTTTCAAAACAGTTTTTTTCTTTAATATATCTTACTAATCAGGTCCTTTCAAACATTTTTGTCATTCAAAATTATGTTTTTTAATGAACAAAATTTGATCTCTATCAGTTCTTCTCTTAAAGTGGATTGGTCTATAATGAACACAATTTCCAAGTATTTCAAATATTGATAACAACAATAAAAAACAATAAATCAGTGTCTATAAATAATGCTTGAGAAAAAAGGTGTTGATAAAGTTATGAGTGATTTAAAACAAACATTTTTATGATGAAAAATAATATTTTTTTTATAACATTTCATTATCTGCTATATGAATATTTATAATATAAGATCATGTATCCTTACTTGCGTACAACATACATATTCTTCCGTGGTTTGTTTGTCTGATACTAAACACTATCAACGTAATTATTTATTGCATTGCAGACCTTTCAATAAAGACCAATTCACTTTAAAGTAACATAACTTTAAAATCAAATACTGGTAGTGGTCGATACTTAATATCAGTTCAATAGCTCTTGAAATTTTATCTTTTAAAGCACAAACTTTCAAATAGATCCTTCTTCATTTCCAAATCTTCTGGTATACATTCAAACACAAAGTCAGCATCACATACTGTCTCTTCCAGCCGACTCAAACACAAAACTTGACCCTGAAAATGTATACAATTTGTCACCTTAGTGCAATAACTGGTTAACTCTTATTAAATTTAGAAAGACTTTACTTGTTGACTGCACCAAGGTGTCTGTCATCATAAAATGTTAATAGTTTCATATCTTTATCATTGCATATTGCAAGTTCTAACCCTTGCAAAAATTAATGTTGCAAAATATCTTAAATGGACTTGTCCATCTTTCAATCTGGACCAAAACATTCACCATTTTTAGGGAAAATTTCAAAATATACATTGATTGAATAGCGAACAGTGTTGACCATGATCAGACCTCACTGGTCACATTGGTACAGTCTGTTGTGCCAGCAGGACAAGAGAAAATGTTGCACAAAACACATGCCAAAACATGGCAGTTAAACAACTGTGATCACAAAAGCTAAAAATTGATGGAACATTGATTGGCATGCCAATATAAGACAAAACTACCGTTATCTCACTAGATTAAACCCTAAACATACCAATGTGCACAATTTTAGTTTGTAAGTTTTTAACAATATAAGCATACTCAGGGCTTTTTTACCTTATATAATGGGGGCCTATAAAAGGCCCCGTCACAATCCAAAATTTCACTTATTTTCACAAAACAGAAATCACAATTCCTTGCAGATTATGCAAATTATCAAACTTTAATTTTAGATAATAGATACTAGATTGTTTTTGTTTTACTTTATAAATCCAAAAGGATACTGGATAAATGTATATAAACTCATTTTGACCAATTTGAATCAGTGAGTTAAAATATTTAAAGCAATCTTCCCTTTAATTTGTTCAAAATTACTTTTTCACAATTGTTCTATTTACCACACTATTTTTTCACAAAATGACCAGGCCCAGGCTCCTTCATAATTTTGGCAAGAAAAGCCCTGATAATAACAAATACTTTGACATTTTGACAGCAACTTTTGAAAATATCTTCTGTTACATGTACATAAAATGTACCTCTTGTGGCTGAAAAATCAATATTGAACTTTAAGACGATAAATTATATGGTAGCGTTCAGTAACAATTTAAGATTAGTTGTAACTAGCACCAAATAATCACAGAGACCACTGGGGCTGGTGAAATTAAAGCTCATATCACAAAAATCTGCTAAAGAATTCATTCCAATTAAGAGAAAATATACTAACTATGAAGTTTTTGTTAAGCAAAATGCCATCTTGTCTTAATTGGTGCTTATCTTCTTCCATTCGTTGAAAAACTGTATTTAAAGAGTCCAAATGATTGGAATATATTTTCACTCTATGTCCATGATAAGCTAATTCACCTGAAATATAAATAGTCTAAACCTTAAACCTGTTGACTTTGTGGATTCTTGGCTTTTCTTACTTCTATAGCATGGGCTGTTTAAATGCGGCTTCAACACAGAAAAATTCTTTAAAATCATGCTGTTTTCACCAAAAAATTGACTTTACATCAAGTTTTTGCTACCTCTTTTGCAAATATACTGTATATACTTTCTCCCAAAATAAAGGGCAGGGTTACTTCCCCAACCTGTGAAAAAAAAGCCCATGGATTTGCCTTACTTTGAACATTTCAATATATCAAAGTACAAAAACATCTGCTACTAACAGTATGATTCACTTTGGGTTGGGTAGTCCAAAATATTAGAAAACCATTTCACTTTCAGTTTATTATTCTTTATCAGTATAAATATATAGTTCATTGCTTTTCCAGCACGGTCATGTGTCCCAACCGCGGCAGCTGATAGAACAACTGCATTTCTGCTACTAAACTGATACAAGTATAGACAAATTTAGGATACATTTGTATTAGTTAACTGTTAAGCAACTACATGTTCTATTAAAATGTTTATCAAATTATTTGTTTATGTATTTGATTAAAACTACTTTACATTTTACTAACACTTTTGTCTACAAATATATCCCGCCTCTACAATCAAACATAAATCACAATTTAAAATTTTTTGACAATTACAGACAATTCACCCCTCAGCCACTTCATCCCAAGCCATTTTTGCAGACACTTCAACCCTTTTGTAGTCCAATAAATCACACGTTACAGGCTTGTTATAGTTTATATCAGTCAAGCCAATGTCTAATATTTATTGCTGATAAACGCATAGCATCATAAAAAATGAAAAAATGTCTATTGTCTTGCCTTATGCTTTTCTTTCAAAATCATGCTCAATCATCAACAAAAACTCTCAAACAATGTAGTTATTAATGTAAAATAAAATACAAACATTGATCTATTTTTGCCTATCGGCCATACTTATTAAATAAAGTGCTTTACAGATTGATTCCAAATTTTTGAACAGAAAAATATATTCATATACGTTGGCAGTGCATGGGCAAATATTTCATTCAAAAATATTTTGTTTGAAATTTCTGACTCATTTAAATGCTTGCATTTGAATTCGCGGATTTTGTGACAGCCATTTGTTTATCGGCTGTATAAGGAATTTAATTAAATAAGAGGATTTAATCATGATTTTTCAGATGTGTCTGATGATGTGACAGTTTAATTATTTTGTTAAAAGTTACATGTATTTATTTTTCACTTTTGTTCATGAATAGGTCAAAATCAAAGTAATTATACGCTGATTTAAATGATTTTTCGTTCCTCCTGATTTTCTTGCAGAACATGCTATGCGTTTTTGAGCAATTTCAATATGACGTTGCTTTGCCAAGAAGCAAAAATATCTCAAAGCGACGTCATTTTTATTGGACTACCCTCTTTTGATGAAATCAAAACATACTAAAAACTACCAGAAGTAAAATATCTTATAAAAAATAACTTACAATCAAGAAATCAACAAATAAAAGGTGTATTTGTTATGGAAATATTTACTCCAGAACTAAAAGGGGTTTGAAATAATAAGGGTTGAGGGATGAACCGTCTTACTGATTTTGGGAGTGTGGTTCCAAATTATTAATTTATCCATGTGTTTGAAGTTTTTTTTCTTTCGTTCAGATTTATTTTAATGATATCGAACTTAATGGTTACATGCAAATATGTCTATTGTATTTCTTTGGCCTATGCAATTGGAAACAACGGCAAAAGAAGTGGAGAACTCCTACCAAAATGGATCGCGAAAACATATTACTAATTAAATATTTAGCTAATTGACGAGACTACAGAAGAATTTATCTAAAAATCATAACAATATCAAAATTGTCTGTTTATTTACCTGCTATTTTGGTACCCAACAGTCCACTTCCCAAAACTGCAACCTTTACCATTGCTTAAAATATCAAAATTATGGGTTTGTTTATGTTTGCAATCTCACTGTGAGTTGTCGTTCTTGGTTCTCAAATAAGTTGTACATTACTAATTTTTGTCTCTTAGGCTTTATACCTCTAATAATCTCACGTTAATTATATGCATTGTATACACACCTGTCTCTCAAATATCGACAGTAAGACCGGTGTACACAATGAATTATATGCGAACGACAAATAAGGATTTAGCATAGAAATTTCAAATATTCCATCGTTTTGAAGTTCAAGCTTCATGTACAACCTCCTATACTCAACATCACTAATTCCGCGTCATCACTTATCTCACGGTAATGGCATATTTTCATGTGATCAGTGATAGAATTGGTCAGAACTGACATATTTTATTCAAACACCTTAACAACAAAGTTTTTGTGCAAAATAATTTAAATCTATAGATTTTTACGTAAAACTGAACAACATTTTACAAACTTCTGCTAAAAACAACAATAGTCCATTAAAATTGTGCATACGTCTGAAACAATCATCATTTTCTAAAAGTTCCTGTTTGTTGAAAAAATAAATTTGAGCCTACAATGTAAAAATACTTTTAATATTTAAAATTATGCAAAATAACTTAAAGAAATTTTAATTGAAACATGAAAAAACTGAAATAAAACACCATTACCGCGAGGTAAATGATGACATACTGTTTTCAAAATGGCGGACACACGGTTAACATCTGACAAATTAAAACTAATTTTGATTGAATATATTGTTGTTTCCTTGTGTCATATAGCAGAAAAATGACTGAATGATACAGATTATGACAGTTTTTGTAGTGCAAGTTTATTGTTTGTGTTCTTTACTGTTTAAAAGTGTTAAGTACCGTGAACTAAGAGGAGCACAGTATACATGACATAAAAAAAAATGAAATCTGATAACATAACTACGGAAGAGCATTAGTGCCAGGTGTATGTTTTTTATTAACTCGAAATTTCGACTTACTTATCTCGAAATTTCGAGTTACTAACTCGAAATTTCGAGTTACTTATCTCAAAATTTCGACTTACTAACTCGAAATTTCGACTTACACTGCACGACTTTCATTGGTTGCCGGTGAAAGCAAGGATTGAATTCAAGATACTTTCTTTCGTGTGTAGCCGTTGCACATTGACAGAGCACCTTTAACATTTATTTAACAGAACAATTTTATAGGGTCAAATTGTCCACACATACTGAACATATCCTTCGCTTTTTTGTGGAAGGGGGGGGGGGTTGTATAATCACACTTTCCACATTCCCGTGTTAACCGGGTGTTTCTTTTTCTTAAGCACACATACAACCATCATGTGGAGAAACAACAAGTCCAAAACCCACCCTATTGTAAACTGTGCAATATCATGTGTTAAATAAGTTTTAAATGGCGTGTATACGCCAGTTAGTCTGTCACGTTTCTTTATACTAATAATGTTTTTGTAACATTATTCATTATTTACTAATACTTTGATTCATATTGTGTTGATAAAAGTTGATAAAAGTGATACTTGTTGTTATATATATGTTGGGAATAATATAAAAGCATCCGATTTTACAAGAAATATAGTCAGTCCAACAATTTTGACAAAGGCCTCAGCACGCCCTATTTTGGCCACGCCGCGATACTTTCCTCAGATGTCCCACACGTGAAGTATAGGATCGGTTTCTTTACAGGGATGAGAAGAATATGATTAGTGAAAAGATATGTTCGAACAGATGGGATACAATACAACGTCTGAAGAACGCCTGAACGTACAAATTAAAGGAAGCCTTGTATTTTTTATGTCAGGTGTGTACATGCCATTACTAAGTTTAAGTTAAATTTCAATAGTTTTTGTCCAGGCACCCGTTTCTCCATCTCCATCGTTCAAAGGCACTGCCTACTATATCTTATACCATCTAACTAATAACTTTGGCCATTCTTGTAATGTTAATAAGTCGAAATTTCGAGTTACTAAGTCGAAATTTCGAGATAAGTAACTCGAAATTTCGAGTAAGTAACTCAAAATTTCGAGTTAGTAAGTCGAAATTTCGAGATAAGTAACTCGAAATTTCGACTTATTAACTCGAAATTTCGAGTTACTTATCTCGAAATTTCGAGTTACTAACTCGAAATTTCGACTTACTAACTCGAAATTTCGACTTAGTAACTCGAAATTTCGACTTACTAACTCGAAATTTCGACTTACACTGCACGACTTTCATTGGTTGCCGGTGAAAGCAAGGATTGAATTCAAGATACTTTCTTTCGTGTGTAGCTGTTGCACATTGACAGAGCACCTTTAACATTTATTTAACAGAACAATTTTATAGGGTCAAATTGTCCACACATACTGAACATATCCTTCGCTTTTTTGTGGAGGGGGGGGGGTTGTAAAATCACACTTTCTACATTTCCGTGTTAACCGGGTGTTTCTTTTTCTTAAGCACACATACAACCATCATGTGGAGAAACAACAAGACCTTAACCCACCCTATTGTAAACTGTGCAATATCACGTGTTAAATAAGTTTTAAATGGCGTGTATACGCCAGTTAGTCTGTCACGTTTCTTTATACTAATAATGTTTTTGTAACATTATTCATTATTTACTAATACTTTGATTCATATTGTGTTGATAAAAGTTGATAAAAGTGATACTTGTTGTTATATATATGTTGGGAATAATATAAAAGCATCCGATTTTACAAGAAATATAGTCAGTCCAACAATTTTGACAAAGGCCTCAGCACGCCCTATTTTGGCCACGCCGCGATACTTTTCTCAGATGTCCCACACGTGAAGTATAGGATCGGTTTCTTTACAGGGATGAGAAGAATATGATTAGTGAAAAGATATGTTCGAACAGATGGGATACAATACAACGTCTGAAGAACGCCTGAACGTACAAATTAAAGGAAGCCTTGTATTTTTTATGTCGGGTGTGTACATGCCATTACTAAGTTTAAGTTAAATTTCAATAGTATTTGTCCAGGCACCCGTTTCTCCATCTCCATCGTTCAAAGGCACTGCCTACTATATCTTATACCATCTAACTAATAACTTTGGCCATTCTTGTAATGTTAATAAGTCGAAATTTCGAGTTACTAAGTCGAAATTTCGGGTTAGTAAGTCGAAATTTCGAGTTAGTAAGTCGAAATTTCGAGATAAGTAACTCGAAATTTCGAGATAAGTATCTCGAAATTTCGAGTTAGTAACTCGAAATTTCGAGTTAATAAAAAACATACACCTGGCACTAATGCTCTTCCGTACTCTTCCGTACATAACATAACATTAACTTTGAAAATTTAATTAGTTGGTTGTTCTGTTGTGTGTGTTTTCTTGTTCTTTTTTGGGGGGTGGGGGGAGGGTTGGGGTGGAGTTTTTAACACATTTTTTGGTAATACATCGGTGGTCAGTAGCAAACCAGAAAATGTCAATTTCACTTTAAATGAGGAACCAATAATTCAACATTATTTCTGACTCGGTGGTGATATGACTCAATGTATCAAATATCGGAAAAAAAATCGACTGGCCCGAGGATCGAACCAGTGACCCCTGCATTACAATTCCGATGGTCTCTCTATACAGCTTAAGCAGACTAAATATGTAAGGAGCCCCATTAAGAAATACAAGCAGTGTTTGTAGTTGAAGGCAAGTAGGTTTATAACAAATGGAAGGGAGATATTCTAAAAACTGTCTTTTTTGTGATTAAAATGACACATGTTTATCAAAATATTATATTAGTTCGAAATTTTTTAACTTAGAACATATTGAAACGTACGTATCTGTTGATCTGTAAACATGCCGTAAATACTGCTTGTACACGTACTTTCAAACATTCCACTTTAAAATGTGTTCTTTTAGTTACAATGCATTATGTTAAGCTGAACGACGAGAGCAATTTTAGTGCTCAAATTAAAGTGTACTTTTGTGATTCGCTAATGTCCTTCATCCGGATTCATTCACATTATCGAATGTAAAATGACTTTTGTGTGAATATACTTTGTGGCTGATATTAATTCTTTAAAATGAATTGCTGTAATATATATACCATGTGTGACATTCAATCACCAGAAAACTATGCTGTTACAGTAATACCCCACGTTTTATAGGAGCAATGCATTTTGTACAGGTTGTGTAACAGATATGTAGTCTGGCATGGGTTTAGTGTTATACAATGCAGTTTAAGTAACTCCAATTCCTGAAAATAATGATGCACGAAGCGGCACTTGAGACCTTCCTGCAACCGAAAAGATGGAAAGTCACAACATGACCGTTAAAGTGTCAATTTGACTGAAAATCCGACTAGTAACTCCAGTGAAATACAATTATAATACAAAATGCAGCAAAATGCATTTATAGTCAGAATTTAGAGAATTTGTAATGGTACCAAAACGTTGTTCTGTGTTGCATTACGATATTGGCCATTATAATGGTACAGTGATGTTGCAGTGAAACGTCAGTGCTATGTTTCTACAATACTACTAAGATATAATAAAAACTTATTGTTGCAACTGTTGTTTTCACAACCTTTGAAATAAAAGAAACTTAAAATTGAAACCAAAATGCAATGTGGATAATAAATTACATCTCAAAATTTATAAAGAAAGTTATATTAAAATTATAAAGTTTCAATTAATTAAAAACCCTTCTAAAATGAAACACATGTGAATTCTTAAGATTCTTAACATCAGAATAATAAATTTTAAACAAATCTTGAATAACAAAAAATATGTTACAGACTACATGTGTATATAGCTCTATCGTCCATTCATTAGAACCACACCTAACGCTCTCAAGTACAAGTTGTTTTACAATCCTTTGTTACTACAGCACCTCGTTTAAAAAGAATTGAATAAAAGTGAAATCCTGATATTCCTAACCAGCTGTTATAATTGAGCTGCGTCACGACAGAACCAACATAATGGGATTGCGACCAGCATGGATCCAGACCAGCCTGCGCATCCGCGCAGTCTGATCAGGATCCATGCTGTTCGCTATCGATTTCTATACTGGTTATAGGGTTTGTAAGCGAACAGCATGGATCCTGATCAGACTGCGAGGATGCG